TGCATGCTTATTTGCAGTGCATCACCTGCATGCTGCCTGTACTGTAATTGTAAATGTTACCCCCCCCCCCTCCCCAAGTGACAAGAATTTAACCCCTATATGAGCTCATTTATTCCATTTTTGCCTGCTATGCCATTGTAAAAAATTATACTTAGACGAAGGCTTTAAGACAAATTTTAATTATAATTAAGTGGCAAAATTCTGACTGAGGAAAGTTTAATGAGCTGGCCATTTTTTATTTGCCCATAGGCTACAGTTTTTATTTTTAAACAAATTTTATCACATTTCTATGTTTGTAAATGATGGATGATAATACATTTGTATTTAAAAATAAGTATTTTTTCATATGTTTTTATTCATTTTTTAGAAGCTAATCTCATAACAATATTTATAAAACTGGATTAACTTACAGTTTAAATCCAAGTTAGTAAATAAATATTTTGTAGTAAAACAGTATGGTGGCATCACAGTAGCACAATCACTTCACAGAAAGAAGGTCGCCGGTTCAATCCCCGGCTGGGTCAGTTTGAATTTCTGTGTGGAATTTGCATGTTTTCCGCATGTTCGCGTGGGTTTCCTCTGGGAGGTCTGGTTTCCCCCACAGTCCGAGGACATGCGCTACAGGTGAATTGAATAAGCTAAATTGGCTGTAGTGTATGTGTGTGAATATGCAAGAGTATGGGTTTTCTAGTGCTGGGTTGTGGCTGGAAGGGCATCCGCTGCATAAAACATGCTGGATAAGTTGGCGGTTCATTCTGCTGTGGTGATCCCTGATTAAGTTCGACTAAGCCGAAAAGAAAATGAATGAATGAAAACAGTATGGTAAGCTCTTTGACAAAATTGTTGGAAATATTTTTGGTGCATGAAAAAAGTGTAGTTATGATCAGAATCCGACAAGCAAATCCAGCAAAGATTAGTGCTTAAAATGTCACGATAATACAGAATTTAATAGAAAATTAGTCGAATAGCTGCAAAAAAGATCCACTTTTTTCAGAAAAAAACAACCATCCCTTTCAATAGGCTGGCTACTGGTCTGAATTACTATGTAAGAAATTATTCACCAATAACATTAAGACAATGATGAAGATTTTTTATTAATGTGTCCAGAAGGTGGCGATGGTTCACTGAATTCAGATTTTTATTTTTTTCTGATTGACCAAAATGTGTGTGTGTGTGTGTGTGTGTGTGTGTGTGTGCGTGCGTGCGTGCGTGCGTGCGTGCGTGCGTGCGCGTGCGTGTGTGTGTGTGTGTCCCTTTGACATATGCTGAAAAAAATACTTGAAACTCACCATCAAAAGCACAACCTGTGAGCGAATGAGGCTCCTCCCCAGGATCTCTACAAATTCTGACAGCTTCACTCAAGCTTGAAAGCTTCAACAAGGAGGTGTGAGCAGAATTACATTTGTCCTGTGCACTGTAATATTTTACAATTCCCATCAAATCATTGTGTCTCACTTAGCACATTAAATGAGAGCAACTACCTCATATTGAGAAAAACAATTAACTTAACATGTTGTCAGGATCGGCGCTAGTTGTCACTCACCGTGTGAATATTTATATTATTGTCATCCTCTTGCCTATAAAACTGCATAGTGCTGTCACACTACATGATGTCACAGTTAACGGGCCATAATAGCCCATTATAGCCTTTTCAGTGAAAAATGAAGATGCACAAAGCAATTTAGCAATAAATGTGAAAGGTAATTTACAGAAATATTAAACCAAATTATACGTGTGTTAATTATACGAACTGAAACATTTCAAATTAGCTGTGGCGTGGCATTTAAAAAAAACAGTTCCCCTCATTTAATTGCATTTTACTTGAATGTATCTCTAAGTTGTTGTGTTGTTAATCAGTATATTTTTAACATATTACATGAGGATTTTGGAATTCACCAGAATTTCTCATATTCTGAAGAACAATTTTAATGTCTGTAAAATAAGTATTAGTTGCTGTTAGGTCTTTATCGATTTTAAATCAAAATTTTACATATGTCAAGTAAAATTTTGTGTTTAACATTCCAAATATTAGTTTATAAATAAACAAAAATACTCCCGTGGACAAGAGTAAAAGACCAGTAGATTAATCAAATGTAAGTCATGTATTTTGATGTGGTCCTGCTCTTTTTTTAAACTGTAGAGACTCGCTCTCCATTACGTGGTATTTCTGAGCTTCTTAGAAATGAATGATATCAGCAACAAGTCATCTCAACCTCTCAGTGCCTTCATAGATTTTCAAGCTTCTCAGTGTTCAGTTTCAGCTTCTGCAGATCAGATAAAAACTCACCCAGACGACTGTGAGAAACCACACATTGTCAATGATCCTTTTGTTTGTATTTTTCATTAATATAAAAGAAAGAACTTGTAATTGGCTTTGTCTTTTACACTTAAATGTCATTTACGGTCCCAGTGGGCTTCAAATGTGCACCTTCTCGCTTTCTGATTTGCCTGACTTAAAGCTAAATATGCAAACACTTCGTTATTTTTTGTCGTGTACCAGAACCGTAATTGCTTGTCATCGCAGCCTATTGATTGGTCATTGACTGATTAGTTTGGACAAAGAGTTAGGTTGCGTTGTTCGGTCTCTTAATTGAATATAACAGCGTTTAACAATGGCCCCTTAATGAAAACGAGGGCTTGTAGTTATTGCACGAGAAAGAAAGGAACAGAAACAAGGGGGGATCTCTAATTAGGAGCTGTAACTCTCGGGATCTGTCCCTTTGTACGCGGGTGTGGGGAAGCTGCATGGCCGGCAGGCAGGCGACAGGCGCCGGTTGCTGGACAAAGGGCTGTCTGCTGCCAAAGTGGCTGGGCGTCCAAACTCTCATCCTCCCTAACCTCCTATCCGCAGCTCTTAACCCTTTCACTATAACATGAGAGTATTTCCCCCCAATATTTCTTCCTTGCTGTGCAGCTTATCAACTCATTATACGTTCTGAGCGCGCTCCAACCATTAATGGTCGGTGCCAATATAAAACACAAAACATATCTGGGTCGTTGAAAGAGAATGAAGGAAATGAGGTGGGGAGAGTCGAGGGTAGTTCTGCTTCCGAGTCAAGCTTTGTCTATTAATACTCGTACATTGCAGTTCTATGACTATAAATAGGCTACAATAGGTTGCATTGTACTCCACAGGAAACACTGGAAACGATAAAGGGTTCCAATTTAGACTCTTGGTTTTTGTACCATAATGCAGTTCATTTATTATTTAGATAATAATTATATACATATTATTATTTTAATAATTAGTATTATTATTGTATAAGTTAAACTAATCTGCCATGGAACATATGTGCACCTGACAGAAAGCAGACCCTTGAACGTGTCGGATTCGCACACCAAAGTCATGCTTCTTTCTGCACGTTTTGTTAAAGGTTGTCGCCAGACAGAACTATACTGATGGACACTGCCATTATTATTATTATTTACATACTTTACATTTGTTATTTACAATAAATGTATTTTTTTCAGCAAAATAAATTAATTATTAATTGAGCAAAGGTGCACATTATACTTTAATTTCCTGATTATGTAGGACATTGTGTTGTTGCTACTGACATGTTAAGGTTTTTATGTACTTGTTTTTTTCTTCTCTTTTTCATACAAAATAAATAGATAAAATATCAGTAATAAGATCCACAAAACCCTTAACCAGAACTGAACATGTCTTATAACTACCGTTGTAGCGGTGGGTATCTTAAAATCACATTGTCTTTGATGAGAGGTTAAATAAACAGTGACATGAGTCGACGACAGAGGGCGCAGTCGCTATTGCCATTCTACATTTTAGTAGAACCCTTTTAAAATTGTAATTATTTGTTATTTTGAACACATTATTTCATCCAAAACATGTTTATTATTATTATTATTATTATTATTATTATTATTATTATTACTACTACTACTACTACTACATGTGACTAGAAGTCTAATCATAAATAGGTGAGGGTGTGGTTAATAGCCTCAATTTAAAACAGACTGGCCAACACTCGTCTTCCGCGCTATACAAAACCATTTGCTAATTGTCCTTTTTTCAGTGATACCTCAGAAAATAGGCTTCCTAATTAATTTGCTATCATTTTTGTCTGTCATTACTAAGAGTGCATCTTTTTATTTAAGCCAACGTATTAAAATAAATGTGAAATATTTAAACACGTATATTTTTTATTGAAATTGTGAAAGAATCCTACAACAACAACAACAACAACAGAAAAATCCGGACAGCCAGCACAACGGGACACGTTCATATATTTCTTTATAGAAACTCAGCTCAAGAAGAAGAATGTCGCTTTCTTCTATTGGAGTACATTAACCTGAGGCTTCCCAAACCTTGCGAGTCCCGCAGCGTGATAAGTGTTTTTACAGCAACTGCTACAATGCAATGATGGCACACGCTTTCATTACGTGTCACAGGCAGATTAAACAGCAACGCATCACAGAGAGGAACACCTTCTGTCTCCAAACATCAAACGCTATAGCTTTCATTTACAACAACCATAGTGAAAAATGAAAAAAAATGCAATGAGTTAAACTCTAAATATTATGTACACGCAAATGTACAGCTTTGAATAAATTAATACCAATTTGCATATTCTTAGGTCCTTGTAGCTTATTTACAGAATTAGGTTCCTTTTATTAATAATTACATTAAATAGTTCAGGTATAACTGTCTGTTGGATTTAACTAACGGTCCAACTGTTATTTCAATCCCTTTTTGAAATATCCACTCTAATTATTTGTCTTTTTTTGCTTTTTTTTTTTTTGGATGTAGCTTGGATGTTTTCAGTTTACAGATTTTACGTGAATCACCATTTAGATATTGCAACCAGCAGTGATCCTATACTGACGTTACGCAACAAATGTATTTTATTTGTATAATCCTTTTTTTCAATAGATTGGTGTGGTCTTGTAGGCATGTTCTACAGTCAATTAGGCTACAATGTAGATTGTCTTCGCAGCACTTCCACCACCAACAGCACCGAGTCCAACGGTTTCTTTTCTTTTTTTTTTCTTGTTGACTTCTTGTTTTCCACTCTAATCATCCATGCGCAAAATATAATGAAATTTCTCGCCGAGAACAACTTAATAAAATCCTCTGGCAATTCAAGTCATGCCCTGGATAGGTTTGGGGACGCTTGATCACTTGGGTGAATCCCTAGGTGACGAAGTCTCCCGCTGGCTCTCTAGGCCGCTTACTAGTCTCTGGATATTTTGAAGTTCATTGATGGATTCCTTCATTGTCGTTTTAGGTGAGCCGTTTCTTTGACTGGCTCCCGATTTGTGATCAGGCACAGGACTCGCTTCCCTGCTACCACATTTAGAAGATTCCGATGAGGGGTTTAGGCCGCTTGGCAATCCGGTGGTGAGCAGGTTTGTGCTTTGAGGGATCGACACTGGGAGCTGATAAGGGTTGAATCGCAGTCGAGGGCGAGTGCTGCTGCTCAAGAACGGGTTCCTGGAGAGAGAGGACGCCGTGCTGCTGCTAGCGGGCAGGGCAGAAGCCGCTGCTGCTGCCGCGGCCATGTAGGTGTAGGGGTACGGGAAAAGTCCACCGAAGGTTGGCATCGGAATGCCCTGTAATAAGAGATGATCGTTAGCATTTTTAGTACACTGTACATGCGACAGTTTGGAAAGTATGAATCTGCTGTATGGCGATTGCTTTTAAAGAAATGTAAAATCAAGTAGAAGTTTATTTTATCACAGAAATAATAGCCTCAAATAAAGCAGATATTTTGACAGATTTTAAAAGCTGTAATAATAATAATAATAATAATAATAATAATAATAATAATGTTGTTTTGTAATGTATTTTCATGCGTTTCTACCAGAAAATGTTTAAACAGCTACTGTTACGCTTGACAAAGAAGGCTAGTCTATGAAATCAAATAGCATCTCACCAAAAATATCACTAGATCTAACTAGTGTAGCCTGTTTTCATTCACGTGCTTCCATAACCAGACAGGGCGTATCATGACATAGATTTAAATTTTAATGACGAGAGTTTCCTTACCTGAGAGGCAAGCATGTGTTGAGACAGATGAAAGGGAAAGGGACTCGGTGTGCTCCCAGTACCCTGAGCTGACAGACTTCCGTTCTCCAGGCCACCAGCGCCTGATACTGAAGCCAATAGATGTCCCATGCCCATGGCAGAAAACGCTCCAGGTGCCATTGCAAATTGTCCAGGGTGGAATAATAGAGGTTGTCCGGTGTTTAGTGGGTTAAAGAATTGTTGACTGTGTAGGCCGGAGAGCGCCAGACTCTGAAGGTGCCCTGCCCCAAAATGTGAAGGACTTTCAGTCTGTACCATTAGAGGAGAGAAGCTGTCTTTACTACCGCTTATACCGCTGTTTTCCGTGTCTTTCTTTGACGAGTCTGTATCTTTCCTCGACCTGCTCTCTAGTTTGTCTTTCTCCAAGTTTCTTATACTAAATATAGAATCACTTGTTTTTCGTGAGTCTGGATAGTCGTCTTTCTTCTCCGCAATAGGCTTCTCTCGCCCCCAGTCCTCACTCCTCGACCTGAATGGAGATGAAGGCTCTGGTGCAGGACTGCTGGAGCCACCACACCGGTCATTTTGGTGGTCCATTTCGTGCTCGCTATCAGTGCATGTTTTGTCGTCTGTGATGGGCAAAAAAATCAACATTAATTTGATATTTCTTGATATAAGACTATCTATCTATCTATCTATCTATCTATCTATCTATCTATCTATCTATCTATCTATCTATCTATCTATCTATCTATCTATCTATCCGTCTATCCGTCTATCTATCTATCTATCTATCTATCTATCTATCTATCTATCTATCTATCTATCTATCTATCTATCTGTCTGTCTGCCTGTCTATCTTTTTATCTATATATTTATGTTGCAGTATAATGGAAGTATCAGTATTATAAATTGCAGATGTATTTAAAATGTCCCTAACTCTAGGCGTAATTGGACTTAAACACTAGACATTTGGAAATTTTCTTTACTGTTTAAGCAGCTAAATTAATGCTTAATACGCATATAAAGCGACACAGTAAGAGACCAGCTGCACGATGAATTAAATAAATGCAATGAAATACAAATATTTTTCCAATTAATTTTTTTTCACGTTTTTGTGTGAATCCAACGAAATATGATTGAGAGCTATAACTTTTACGTATTGCTCGCTGATTCAAAAAACTTGTTTTGGAAATTGCAAATCAGCTCATGCTGAATGAGATATGCTTTATTCAAATGACAGTGTCAATTATTAAAATTGTTAAATGGTATAATACAGAGTTTTGTCAATTATTTGACATTTAGGTCTGCTTCCTTTTGGTATTCATGAAGCATATCGTTATAATTTATTCATAACTTCAGACGTACCTCTGCTGCCCCGGTTAAACCTAAGTGGGCTGGAAACCGGTCCAGGTGAATGACCAGCATCTCTGCCAGTTGTTGGTTCGCTTGAGGAAGCATCAGAGTCGGCGCCATCACGGTCCACTTTACATTGATCCTCATACATGCGTAATGATGGAAGGGTCAGCTGTTTCCTTTAACATAAAAATATATTTGTTTATAAAATAAATACATATTTAACAAATCAGGGAACTATAAATTGATCAATGCAAAATAAAAATAAAATCTGTAGGCAGCCCATGGGCTATTTCGTTACAACGTATAACACTATAACTTTTATTACCTTTTTTCTCTCCTTCCATTCCCCGTGTCTCTGAAGCCTTTGGCAAAGGGGTTATTATCAATTTTCAGTTGAGTTATCTGAATGTAGAGAAAGAAAAAAGATGTATATGTTGTTATAATTATTATTGATTTGTGCATGATTAGTAAAAATATTCAACAGCAGTTTATTAATATATAATCGTAGTGGTACTTTTGGTGTTGATTTACGTTGCACTAACTTATACAAATCCTTATTTCATACGAATTTAAATGCATAAAAAGAAAAGCTTTCATAAGTGGTGTGATCACCACTTATTTTACCATCAGTGTTAAACACGCTGCGCAGACTACTTTTAATTATTAACAGTGTTTAATGAAAAAGATCAAATCACGACCCCCCTGAGAAACTCCACGAGTAAACATTTTCCATTTGTCAAATTGTTATTCTCTACAGCACAACAGAGAGAACAAGAGAGGCGAACTAGATGAGTGACGCCGACCTGCTATTAATAATTAATAGTGTGGTTTGAATCATTGCCAGTTTTTACAAGTTCCATGAAAATAGAAAGCGATGTAACAGAACGATTTTCGTTGTACTCAAGCGATTTAGACGCTGTAGGCTATAAATTCATGAGAAACCAAGGCCTTAAAGTTCAGAGATTGCTAAGCTAGATGGCCTCTGCTTTTTGCGTTTAGAAACTGACACGCTTTGATTGCTGTGCCTCAGTGTGTGTTGCTCCCGGACAAACCGACGAGCTTAAGTGCCTGCTAATCGATTGTGACTCTATGTCATAAACTTTACGATACCGACAAGCTCACCAGGCCCCTCGGACACAGACGACAATTAACATGAGCAGTAGCTGAAAGTAGCACTGGACACGTGAGGAATTTGAACAATTTTCAAGATAAAATTTAACATCCATATATTCAAAATACTGTCACTTATGCTACTTTTTTATACCAAGGGACAAACAGTAAATCCCACCAAATGTACAGGCTCGTAGATCGCATGCAAAAAGCATCGCAGAACGAAAGTAGATATGCACAAATTACGAATAGTCAAGTTGTGCATTATTTAGATATGCAAGCACATGTCTGTAATGTCTAATAAATCGCTTTAATTTACCAAAATATGGGTACATACCTTGTCGTTTTGATAAGCAGTGACAGCAATAAAATCGGTCTCAGGGAAAACGTATGTCCTGAAAGTGCTGTACGGAAGCTTCAGAATATCGTTGGCTCTCACAATATGGAACCTGGGCTGATATTTATGCATTGAATTCAGGATGGTCTGTTAAGAAGGAGAGGAAGACATTAGTGCTCGTCACAATAATTATACATTTCAAGTCATTACTCTTTAAAATAGTTTTAGACGATAAAACCGCATTATATATTAATTAATAGTGGAAATATTGTTCTTGGGTTAAATCACAGAGCTGCAGGCCTATGCCGGTGGAAAGAAACAAACCAGTCATGCGGACATGCAACACGACTAATTTTGTGGCGCTTTCAATATAACATTAAATTAAATCTCAAGAAGAAATCTAATAAGAGTTACTTAATTGTACGGATTAAGTAAAAAGGTGATGAGCAGATAATATACATTTATTAAATTTCTATTTTACTGTACAAATATCAAATGGTTATGCCATGCATGTAAATGCTCCATTTGTTTCCAGTCGATTTGTTTGCTCGTCGCGTAAGGGAGCAGGTCACACACTATATTTGACTGCATGCTCTCGTATATAGTATCGGTTTGCATCGTTGCATCCAACATTGTTCACTGAACTAACCAAACACACCAGAGACTGCTCAGGTAGCTCTACCTATGCATTTTGTTGCTGCGCTAATTCAAACAATCCAAATGTTACGTTCACTGTTGCTATTTGTAAACTCATCTACTGTAGCGTGATTCAAGGTCTCTCTTGTTCATTTGACCTAATTTTTTGTCACTTCCACCTCCTCATAAAAGTTATAGCGCTCAGCGCCTATCATAAACAATAGAAGTAACAGTGGCCAAGAAAAAACTCAGGATGAAGTATTTACATTACATAACCGAACTGACATTGTCATCATTATTCATCATAACGAATAAAATTATGACGGAAAGCCCTTATCTGTGTTTGTGCCGAAACAAACAAAAAAAGAAATTAATCTCTCCACAGCACAGAATTGTATGGGCCGAATAAATTTAATAAGCTAAATTAGATATTATAAAACAATCATTCTCATTGCCCAAAAATAAACTGCGATACTGCAAGTGTCATTGTGAGCATAGGCATTACAGCCCACACATGGCAGTAAATTTATATTACATATGCTATAACACACAACTATAATAGGCCTCTACATGCGACACACACACACACACACACACACACACACACACACACACACACACACAGACACAGCTATTAAAGAAAATGGGTTACTTACAAATCCATGTTTGTCCGAAATATTGTTGGTTAACTTCAGTTTATGAAAAGCAACAGGCTTAGCCATCCATTGTTCCCCAGTAGCTGGGCTATCCGGATGTATATACATTCGCTTTGGCATCTCCGGGTCGGCCTTCCCCGCAACCATCCAGCGAGAGTTGTGAAACTTGTAGCGGCAGTCGTCGGCAGCCACAATGTCCATTAAAAGAATATACTTGGCTTTTTTATCGAGTCCATTAATGCGGACCTTAAAAGGTGGAAACATTCTCCTGTAGGAAAAAAAAAAGTTTGTCCATGAATGTATTTTTTTACGTTGTCAGGAAAATCATTTACATTTCTGTGTTATGGTTTATCTTAACTCAAACAATGACATTGTGTGTGTATATATATATATATATATATATATATATATATATATATATATATATATATATATATACAAACAACAAACCAAATATTACTATTTGACTTGGCTCCAGATTATTTAGCTCGCCACTCAAATATTATATGTTTTTGACAGGATATTTACATAGTACACCTCAGAACATAGACAGGCCAACAAGGACATTTGTCTTCAAAGAAATAAAATAAAACACAATTTAACTGTACCACACCGTTCAATGAAAGTCAATGTTTGTTGATTCTGATGCAAGCAACAAAAAGCCTCAACTATTTTCCTTTCGCTTAGCCACAGAATACGCATCGCTTGTACTTTCCCCATTTCGTTTCCCTAAATCAAATGAGCAGATGAATCTTGGAGGTCCCCATTGTTCTGACAGTAAGACATTCATTTCCACAGCCTCTTTGACATAATAATTGGGTCAGCCAGTTCATGGCTCAAGACATTAATAAGGAAATTATGGAGAAATGTTGTACGACAGCGAATGCATAAATCCGAGGATCAGCAATGAATATACTGGGCCTGCTGAATTAAACATCGAGCGAAACAGTTTTATTTTATGTTTTTATTCTTGCAATTCACGGCGAATTTACTGTAGAATAAATACGAAACGTTCACAGGATCACAACATTCAATCGCGTAAACACTGCAACAAAATACTATTAACAGATGAAGTGTGAACTCACCTGCCAGATTTCGTAATAACCATTTCTGTTCCTAATTTGTGGAACTGGTCCCATAGATCCTTCGCTTCCAGTGTGACTTTTGGATCGTCTTCAACCTCTTCCTCTGGCTCCAAGCTCTTGAGACTGCGAAGATGAGCTGCCTGATGGTGGTGACTCAAAGCCGGATGGAGCCCAGCCTCCGCGGCTCCGGCCAGGGTATGGTCCGGGATCGGCTTTGTGAGAGCCCCGGGAGGCAAGGTCAGCGCCGGGAAAAAGGAAGGTTGCGCGGCCGCGAGAAAAGCTGACATGGGAAAGTCGGTCGGCCGGTGAGCGTGGAAAGGGTGGTAAGCCATCGCAGTCCCTGTAAAAACTGGATCTCTCATCGGTGCATCCAACAAACGTAGTGAAAAGATATATTTAGAGGTGTTCTCTGGCTAAAAAGGAGCGCGTATCCAGAAGACAGATCTTCTCACTACGAGAAGAAAAAGCGCAGCGAGGCAATTTTGGCAAAATGCGTATCGCGAAAAGGCGAGAGCAGACAGCGGTAGGATCTTCCACTTTAACTCCCGTAGCTGCTAGTTTCCACGAAGTCCCCGTAATAATATCAGTCAAAGTGAGCGCAAGGACGCTTTGAAGGCAGATTTGGGGATTCCTGTTCGCCAACAGTTGCTCTCATAAAAAAGCAGATTACTCTTTCGATGCGGATGTCCATTCAAGCGCAGTCATTCTACCCAGACACGGAGTTGAAATGGTTAGATCTTGCCCTGTCCACTGTACAACTGTAACTATCTCACATGTCCTTCCTGCTCTGATCTCAGCACTAATGAACCAAGCCCCCTTGATTGCTGATTTTACGCTTTCTGGACCAATTGTGGGCCTCTATAGGCGTGGTTTTGACAGCTCCGGCCAGGCTCAAGGAGAGGGGGTGGACAAGAAGGTGTCGGAAGCATTAGCAGTAAGAAAACATGTCAACAGAATAAAATATTAACCAATGACAGAAAAGATCGGGAAATCCCACCCCCGTCTCCAAGCCAAGGACCGGGTCAGCCCTCAGTGCTTAGCCGGTGGTGACTGCACCTCGGTCGGCTTACGCTTTATAATTACGATGCCTCCTTGTTCGAGGAACAAAACACTCTTTCCGATACACAGACAACCAAGACTTAAGATTATTGACGTGTAAATGAGAACGTTGCAAACTCTTATGAGAAAATCAGCGCAAATACTATAAACTTTACATTACAAGCACATTTAAAGCATCGTGAATTGAAGATAACTTTTCGCAATAGTCAATAAAATAGCACACACAAAACAACGTTCATGTTCGCTGTATATGTTGAAGTGGCGCGTACGTATTTTGTTAATGATACAGAAGTGCACACTGATAGCCAAAGGACCTTGTTGTGCGTATGAATTGAATTCAGCGTAACACTGTGTGAATAACAATTTCCGTACTTCGTTCGTGTGTCGCGACTGACTTCATGTGGGGAACATCAGCCAATAACCGGACATTGGTACTTTCAATTCTGCCCCGGGTCATTCAAAGCGCATAGCCACGCGCTATGAAGAAAAAGGAAGAGAGCTGATGGAATCTAAAGACCAATGTAAAGATAATTTTGGTGAGTGCTGCATTACTCTTGACTGTTAACAAGCATCTGCGGTTAACTTTTAATTTACTCCATATGCGGTAATATGCATAGACATGTGTTTATGGAATGTTAAGTGCGTTATAATAAGGCATTTTTTATTTTTTTTTTCTTTGTGCGCAGACGATATTTTCACGCAGTGTTTAGGTGTGCGAAAACAACACGCTCCTCTCTGTCCTCGAAATATAGTTACTTAAACGTCTCTACATCTCAACGCATTTAAGTGCAAGACCACTATTCCCCATCTACTTTCGCCCTGTAGTTTCAGCAGTGCGTCGAGCCGTGAGCGTAGTCTATACCTTTAAGAAATCCACTCGTGGACTCTAGATTTACTTGGATTGGGTTTGTTAGATAGCCGCTTGGCGCCAGTCGGCTGACGTACCGCAGCAAGAACCGTCCCTTGTCAGTTCATATTTACTCCAAAATCCTCTAACAGTGCACTCCAATCCTTTTAGCCTTTACGCCAAAGTTTTGGTTCGCACTTGCCGTCTTTGTCTTCAAGTGACTAAGTTAGCTTATCAATGTATAGTTTTCGGTCATATGAATACTTCCCGCATTTCCAAAACGCATCTTTGTATTTGTGCGGACAGATTCAACCGTTTGCGGAATGTAGTCACTTTTACACTTCGATACAAATCAGCAGAACATGATGACAGGCTGTATGTTTAACCCTTTCTTTGCCATACAGGATCCGAAAGCTTATATTTGTTATATTGCTTATATTGCACTGAAATGTTATGAAGTTAAAATCAGCGTGAATTGAATATGAACAGCTGGTCAAAAACTTTATAGGCTGTTTGCAGTGTCTATTTAACAAAGACGACGACGTATAATAAAGTGTTTTTGTATTTAGTTTTACAATTTGTGATATTTAGTCTACTGGATTGGACGTAAAGTTGTTTAAAGATAATAGTTTGATTTTATTATTATTATTTAATAAAGAGCATGGCGAAATGCCGATTATTGCAGCCAAAATGAGCACTGCTACATTACTTAATTGTGCGTTTTTCGATTTTTTTCTCTTGTTCATTAAAAAGGGCAAGCATATTTAGACATTTTATTATATCTGTTGTGAAATGAGATTACTCTCACACCTCAATAATGAATAAGAATGGCTAAATCTGCACAGTAAGCAGAGAAGAAAAAAAAGAGACAAAGTAGGCAGACACTTGTTGCCGATGCCACGAGTGAACACACAGAACTAAAGCGGGATTTATTAAAACTGACACTAAAATATTGGAAATGCAGGCATTTACCATGCAGGTATGGGCATTATTAATAAATATAACGCTTTTATTTAAAAGTCGCAAAATGCTACATAAATATATAACAGAGAAAGAAAAGAAACTGCTATATATTCAAATAAACAATAATCTATTGGGCTATTTATACCACGATTTAACTGTACTATATAAAGGTAGAATATTAATATTTTGTTCCGGTTTTTGTAATGAAGCATGTTGAACTAGCCAAACGAAATAATAAAGAAGCGGAAAAAGTATTTTCCACCTTTTTTCCAAAAAAGGCCTACCCAGGTGTTTTAGCTGTAAATATTAAATATTGTTTTTGAAAGTTTACACATTCATTGTTTTACCTGCAAACAACGTTGTTGAATTAGAACTAATCAATAGTGTTTGTTTGATCTCTGGGCTTAAACTTCGACAGAGAGTGATTTAGATTGGGAAGAGATTAACCACACGTGGAAATGGTAACGGTTTTCTATGTATATACTTTAGGAAGTAATCACATCAACAAAGTCTCTGCAATTACGCCAGATTTATTTTCCCTGCTGTACACATCTAAACCGACAAGAATGCAATCGTGCGCTGAGCTTTTATCACACATAGTTTAAAAAGCGTTCATGCTGGAAAACTTTTCACGGCACTGCCACTGTTTACTGCAAAAACAACGAGGCGTCGAAAACCAATGACGTTTATTCCGGATGATTGTAATGATGAATTAAAAAAAGGGGAGGGGGGGGGGGGGGGGGGGTGCTGAGAGGTGTCTCTGTGCAAAAGCTTTAAGCAGAGTACATTTCATTAGTTAATATAAGCTGGTGCCAAACTTTTATGCATGATCTGCTCCTGTCAGCTTTTGTGTCCTTGAGACGGTGTCCGCTGTAAGACAATGTGCCTAATTGTGTTTCCAGGGTTCCAAGGAAATTAATATGTTCCTGCAAAAAGATAACGCAAACCTTTGCAATACCTTTCACATTTATGAAACCAGATGCACCTCTAGGGTTGATCATTAAATGACCGTTGCTCTTTTTTTCTGCTTTTACATTGTTGCTCCTTCTTTTCATCTTTTCATCATCTCTCTGCATCATCTCTCCTGCTATATTTAGCCAGTAGACTGAGGCCTTGGCGCCAGACCGTTTAAGACCTGTCAAAGTCCCTCATATTTCCCCTTGTCACATGTATACCCAGCGCCTCCACCAGCTAGCAGCCCCCTCTCTCCTCCTCCTTCCTTCCGTCCAGATCTCTCTCTCCTCCATTCTTACTACCCATCCACACACACCCTGGATAAATTTCCCCGTGTCTCCTTTTTTTTCATTAGGACAGTGTATTTGATCTGCTCGTGCTTATTTTGCCAAATCGTACAATTTGCTTTTCGCGTCGAATCACCCAACCGAGTCAGCAGTAAACTGCTCAGTCTGGACATACCTTATATCTGATAGATGCGAAACAACTATTTTATAGACAGCTCTGGTGCTCTGCTTCTTCTCTCCCACTCTCTCCATCTGCCCAGAAGTGAATTGGCAACAGTATACTTCACAAAAGCTCATTCTTTCAAACTATAAAACACATAGTTTCCCCCCTCTGTGTAGTGAGGACATCTCATAGACACAATAGTCTTTATTCAGAGGTGATGCTGTTGCAAAACCGTAACCCGACCCTAATCTTCACACAAACCTGTTGATATCAGTAGACTTGCAATATTTATATCAATGAGAATGTTTGAATTTTGTAAGTGGTAGCCTACAAAATGATACAATCGCATAGTCTAATAGATTTTTACAGTTGAAGATTTGCTTTTATTTTAAGAGTCAGTTTAAAAAATATTAGGCAGTAAATCTTAAATATCAAAACTGTAAAGTTTTAATCAAAGGATAACAAAACAAAAAGTTTCAAACACGTTATCGTAAGGGTTGTTTTATACATTGTAAAAATATATGATTAGTTAGTCCTGACAACATATGTTTTTAGGTCATTATAACTTTTTACCCAAGGTAATCTTGTTCTAACTTAATTTTAAAAGTTACGCAAGCTGTTTTAAGTCAGTTTAACACGATTTAAGTTCAGTTGACTGATGGGGTTATTTTGATCCAGCTTAAAAATTTAAGGCAATCATATTTTTTACAGTGTAGAAATATAATAATAGTGATTAATAAGGTTTCGCTAAACTTGATAAACCCCATGCATTAAGTGATAAAAATTATGATTCTAAATCATGAGTATGCACTAGCCTCTGTGATCAGCAGACAACAATAAATGCAGAACACGATGGATGTTTGAAATGTTTAACATTAAACCATCCATGCGGTGTTTTGTAAATATTGAGTAATATCAGGTAATCGTTTAGCAATTTCTCTAGCAATTTAATACAGCACTCTAAAGACCAAATCTGATTTTAAAAGACGCTAAAACTGTTAGGCGAAGCGCGCATGCTGCTGATTTATTAGAATCTACACCTTTTCAGGTAACAGGTGGGGGCGCTCTAATGACCTCAGGGATTTACTGTACCTGCTCCTGCAGACCGTTTGCAAACACTAAAGCTTAATTTAAAATGTGCGAAAACCCTAGTATTTTCTCTCAATATAAATATACCTTTTTTCAAGCCACGAGTTTAACACTGAATGCTTGTCTGTGTTATTTTATAGCCTACTGAATGATTATACATTTTTAATTGTGTTTTGCAAACATCTCATCAATAGCGACTGAAGTAAAATCAGGCTTGTCGTAATAACAAGCACCACACACTAATAGTAAAATCTGTGATTTATGTGTTTCCTTTATGATCACACACAGACAAACACCCACACGCTGAAGTTTTTTCGGTCCCCTGAGCTTTTGTGTTGTGTGATGCTGACCCCATCATTTCCCCTTCAGCGATTAAGTCTCTTGCTCCGTCTAAATGCAACAAGTGTTATACCTATTGTACCTTCATGCTTTTTTATACAATTTGTGGTTGATTAAATTGTATATTACCCCTAAGTATAGTTTTATACACTTAACCAGCAAACTGTTTTCATCAGGCAAAAACATCTTTGTTTACATTTATTTAATTTGCAACAACCAATTCAGCTCTTGCCTCGATCAGCTTTTGCTAGTTTTTATCTTGTCAAAGTATTCTTCTTCAGTAATATATTTTAGTCAGAAAAGTTGAATGCATATTAGAAGTTTGATTCCTCACATTTTCTCAACAAAAAATGTTAACTTGCGGTTTCTTTTTTTTCATATTCTTTTCTAACAAAGAGCTGTAAATCAGTATACAAACGCGAATGAAATAAAATGCGCATTAATCAGCTCCATTCTTATTTTAATGATCTTTTTTGTTAACCATATTTCAGTTATTTTAAAACGGCAATATAAATGGTTTTATTGGTTTTTATGTCTCTTTTTTAAATGTCATTGTTCAACCAACATTTATTTATTTGGGCTTAAAGTCCTTATAAAACTCTCAGCACCTGAACACCTGTAAAAAAATGATAGTATTTAAATTAATTTTATTAGCTGTATTTATAAATGTATACTTTTAATATTATATATGATTTGCATGCACTCAATCTGTACTTCCGACTTGATGTTTAATGCTGTAAAAATGTAGGCTACTGTACACTTATAGTAACTTTGCCTTCTAAATGTTTTCCCACGGATTAAAGGTTTTGAACGGGAACGGCAATTTGTCACGGTAATAGGATATGAAGAGATGAGGGGGAGAAACTCCAACATCAATAATTTAAAACAAGCACCCTTGCACAATCAATCCGACACTATTCAGAGAGAATGAGTTGAAGATAAAGGCAGATTGTTCTTACTGTAGGCTATCTGTTAGCGATGAGTCTGCGAGCAGCCGTCGTTTCGATCAGGACACTGATGAGATGCGCGTCCAGGTGTGGGGATCCTAAAGATAAGTTGATCTAATCGAGGCTATTCAGCAGCTAATTGAAAAATAGTGTGTGTAGTAATGTCAACACTGACCCTTTTAATCCCCCCGGGAGCTGTCAGATATTATTCAGTGTACTGTCTCTCAAACAGCTGTGGAGATGACTGATTTACACGTCTCGTTTAATTGACAAATAACGAATTAAATCACGAAATGTTTCGACGTTCGAATCTTAATATTTCCCTTCATTAATAGGTATTTTCAGACAAATAAGTTATGAGGTGCTCGTTAGCAGTTACGAGTAGTTAGCATCCATAAACCGCGCGAAAAGTTTGCCTCGTCACGATAAATTTAGCCTACCTTACGCACTTTTTATTTCGAAAAAAACGTTCCATTAGAAGACAAGTTCTATTAAAATAATGTCTGTTAATAAATCAGTTGGTTACTACAAGCCCCGACTTTTAGCTTATGACACACAAAGGTGTTAGTTTGAGATAAATGTTTTCCATATTTCAGTATACAATGTAGTTGACTTATAAATTACGTTGGGCTCTATTGATAAAACTTTAACGAATAAAGCGATAAACGGAGACACCTGGTTTAACAACACTTATTATTATTATTATTATTATTATTATTATTATTATTATTATTATTATACCAGTAATATTCAGTGAATTTAGTTTTTATCTATATAAAGTATATTAAGGCGCTGATGATGTAGATAGAAAACCTTTAAACTTTGCATTGAACACATTTTGACCCTTAAATGTCTTATTTTAAGCTTCTCTCTCTGTTCTAAGGTATTTGCAATCGCATTTATTAACACATTAAGAATGAATTCAAGCAGAGCTAGTTAAATATCTAGAAAAGCTAAGATGAGGATGGAAAAGCAAGTTACTAGAATTAAAAAAGCAACCAATGTTTACTTTCTAAGGTGATAATAGTTTTCTCTGTTTTTTTCCCCTCTATTCAGTCATCTTTTATTTTCTGTGATATTCCTTTCATTCATTTAGTAGTTAAGAGATGCATGACCTCCGATGAGAGGAGAAACCCACAGACATGCCAGAAAATAGCCTTTTACTGAATGGGGACCGTTCCCATTGGGATACATGGAGTGCAGAGGATTCAAGGAGTGTTTTGGAACAAACAGCTTCAAAATCTTACATGGTTTGCCAACAAGCCTTGACAGATTGACTCATGGTAGATTGTGTATCAGAGACTGTTTATAGATGAATGCTTCTTCAGCTAAATGTACAAATTTGTAGATCAGCCTTCTGACCCCCGAGAGAGGAGGAAAGCTGACTGAATGCCTGCTATCTTCTGTTGGTATTTATAGGCTGTGGCTGCAGTGATAAGGTGGCACTGGCAGTCTGGAGTGAGACAGAGAGAAACGAGGCCTGACCTGCACAGATGGAGAGAGTGTGAGCTGTGCCACTGTCCTCATCGCCGCTTCATGTCCAGTTCCACAAACTGCACTGCGAAACATCATGTGTGCGTTTACGTTAAGGTGGGAGTGTTGAGAAGATGGCGGAAGAACGAGGATTACAAATGTGTCTTAAAAATAATGGATAGTTTTCTTAACTACACAAATAAAGGTTATTTTGATGACACAATAGTGCCTCTGTAATTGTTTTTCTTTTACTCTACATCAGGTCAAATTGAATAATAAGAAAACGTTATATAAGAAAATTGCACTTGAGTAAGGTTTGTCTTTGTGTGAAACATTCTAAGTTATTTATTGTACAATTAATGACAACGTTTTGCAAGTTTTAGAAATATTTATTCAATTGATAAATTCATGATAAAAATTCAAGGAACATCCAGCAGCTTTGGCTGTTATATCATATTCAGTTTGCAGGGTATTCACAGGGTCTTAACTATTTAACTGTCCCACCAAGAAAGAAAAAAAAATGGATTGGATTTTTTACTTTTAATGTCACTAGTTAATACAATGCATTTTTTTCAACACATCCCCTAATTACTAAAATATCAACCTCCACCAAATGCTTGATATGTTGGTTTAAAGTACTAGAATTAATACATATATTATGAAAAATCTGAAAATATGAAGTGTAAGACCAATTTATTTAAAAACTTAATCAAAATAAAACATTTTTGAACACTAAATACTCTTTTTTTGAAGTATGCCATAAAATATTTCAGATTCTCATTTAACATGTTTTCTTGTTTTGATTTGTTTTTACAATAAAATTAAATCGAGCGTACTAGTGTAACAGGATTATGTTTGTTTCATTTATTTTATTTTTATTTTTTGTAAACCAACAATGCTGTGCGTGTAAACCATTATTTAAAACAGTCATTCTTTAAATGACTTTAGCAGTCATTACTTAACATGTCCTAAATTTAAAAAAAAAAATGTAGGCCTTAAAAAGTCTTAAATTAGCTTAAGAATCGAATTGTAAGTCTTAAATCATTTTAAATGGGTCTTAATTCCACGTAAAGCTACTCTATCAGGCCAACACCTGTATACAGTCACCAACAATACATCTCTATAAAACCTTTAACCAAACTCTGTTTACAACACGGTTCCTCACAATAACATTTGTAAGTTTTCTTTCTGTATTTATATGTGGTTAAGACACTGATCTGGACAGACTTGTACATTTAGTTTATTAGTTTTTAAAGCTTGTCAAAGAAAGTATGTGTGGTTTGTATATATATATTTTTTTATGTGGCATGTAAAAATCTTTACAATTAAGCCTTTTATAAATCTGTAGTTTTATTCATAATGGCCCTGAAAGCTCTTAAAATGTCTTAAAGGTGTGATTTTGTCTGTTATAAAATAACTATTATTTTATAACTTATTATTTATTCTATTTATGTATTATTAAAATATAAATTGTTCATTTAATTGTGCACAGAGCAGTTTTCATATTTTGGTATCGTTACATCCAAGTTTTTTCTCCATAAGAAACAGACCATTATGAGCTTTGTTGTTGTTGTGTGTGTGTGTGTGTGTGTGTGTGTGTGTGTGTGTGTGATTTTTTATATCAAGAATAGTTTATTTTTGTATATTTTTTATATAATCACTGCATGATGCATTTATGATTTGTTTGTGCAACTCTGCTTTTAACTGAAGAAATGCACACTGTATTGAAGGTGTAAATGTTGTTATTTATGTTTCATCAGTTTTCCTCTGCAATTTTAGTTGGAATAAAACCCATAAGATCAGTGTTGCAAGTGCTTGTGCTTTGTTGCTTTGGCTTCATGAATTTTTGAAAAAGAAAATTTGAATACAATTTTTTTTAAATGTAAAAAAAAATCATAAACAATATACTTACAATACTATTTCTGATTTTCATACTTTCAACAAGGTTTAGACAATGTTAAAAAGTTATCTTTTTTTTAAAGATGTACTGTTATACCCAGATTTAGTTTTCAAGTTGTGATTTGTATTGATTTGTTGATTTTGTCAACAAAAAAATCCCCCAGAAGTTGCCCAATCTAAGGCCTGGTTAATCAAAAATAAACCTTTTGGTTTGATCATCATTAAAAAAAAAAAAAAAAAGCTTACGCACACAAGCACGTCCAGTAAAGCAGAGATGGAGATGGAGGAAACCTCATCCTGTGGCCTGAAGCCTGTGGGAGATTCGTGATGATAAAAAAACAGTTCCCCAAATAAAAGCAGTGATTGAGATTCACAGCCGCAGGCCCAGATTTGTATCTCATCATTTAAATGCATTTATTTTTAGTATAAGAAATATATTCAGGAGAGAGCAAGGTAAGTTAATAACAAGAGAAAAGAATGACAAAGTCAGAATGCATCTATTAAGCAACACACAAATGACTCGTTAAACTCACTTGCATAAATTCCTATTTGAAGATCACATTGTGAAAGTATTATTACAAAACCCCGTCATATTCATACAAGCATGTGCCAACTTTAATGCTGAACATCCCCGTTAAGTTTGCTTTTTCTTTTCTGCGACACAGACTTCGGTCATGCTCTGATCTGTCAGCATTCAAACAAGCTGATGATGAGCAGCCCGATTCATGCTTCTTATATCAGATCAACTACTATTTATGCTAGAAAATGTTACATCCGGTCAAGCAAGTTGTTCAGCGCTATACAAAAGAGTTCAATTAGCCAATATAAAATGATATAATGATGATTATGGTGATTTTCCACAATTTGGAGTAGTGTGTAAATCATAGGCCTCAAACTGGACTCCTGGAGGGCCGCAGCTCTGCACAGTTTTGCTTTAACCCTGATCAAACACGGCTGATCTAACTGATCAAGGTGTTCAGACTACTACAGGCTATTAAGCAGGAGTGAGTTGAAGGTGGTTGGAGTTGAACTATGCAAAGTGGCAGCCCTCCGGGAATTAACTTTGAGACTGTTGGTATAAATCGTCTAAATAATGCAATTCTCCATTGAATTATCATGAGGATGAGCCTCACACACATCCAATAAAGTAAATCAAACAGAGAAAATGAATAAACAAAAATCCCTTCTGAAAGAAAACACATATTTTTCTGTAATATATATATAAAAAAAAAAGTGGAATCCAGGGAATTCATCAAATCATTTTTTTTTTAGAAACCAAGATACTATTTATGATTTGGTGAATTAGTGATTCATTTGTATGAATATGTATTGTGTTTTAGGTCTGTGTTTAAAAAAGACATACATTTTCATATAAATTAGCCACTAATATGTTAAAATGTAAGACATAGCTATGGAAAAAGTACAAAAAAATTACTTGAAAAGTCAGTTTGAGTAAAATGTTTATATTTGTTTTATTATATAAAGGTCTGATAACTCATTTCAAACATAAATGACCAGAATGATCAGAATAACAAATGAAAATCAGGGGTATTCCACCAAACTTTACTTTTTTTTAATGGGATGGTTCGCCCAAAAATGGAGATTTGCTCGCTATTAGCTCTCACTCAAGTGTTTCTAAACGTCTTTTTTTCTGCTGACAAGATATTCTGAAGAATGTTGGAAAGCAGCAGCCACTGACAACTGCTACAAAAAAAGTACAACCTGTGTCACAAAAAGTAGAAGGAAATAAAAGGGTTAATGGTTGCTGCTTTCCAACATTCTTCCGTTGCTGTTCAACAGAAGAAAGAAACATGTTCCGGACAAGTTGAGGAGGACAGACTTTTCATTTTTGAGTGAAAGATCTCTTGAACTGGTCAAATCTTGCTATTGTGTTGACTGAATATGAATGCAAATAAGTCTTAAAAAAAAAAACAGGCAATTTTTTCTGTTATTACATGCAAAAATTGTCTAAATGGCAACATTTGCATTCGAAAAAGTTACATTAGACATTTAACATTACTCAATTTTGTTATCTTACATAATAATAATAATAATAATATAATAATGACACTTCGATTTTACTCTAAAGCATAACTAAACTGTCAATTCAAGAATTAAGAATTTTCAAGTACTCTCTTGATTTTTCCACCATAGCTGTAGTCAAATTTTCCCGTGTGACTGGGTTGACGAAACAGATGATGTTTAAAACACTTATTTAAAAAAAACCTAAACAAATATACAGAAAATAATGTGCAGAATTATCAACACTACAGTGTAATGCAAGACTAAATGGTAAACAATCAATTTTGACTACTTATAAAAGTCAATTCAAACTACGGTACGTCTACTAAAACATAATCAAACACTATTTTCAGAATTATAATAATAATCAGCATCACGCTTAGAACTCAATAACAGAGGTAATCAAGACTCATATCTAAAGAACACACTCTCTTTCTCTCTCTCCATCACACACTCGCACTGGAAGTTCCATTGATATTATTGATAATATGACACATCTTTGAGAAAAGTGTGAATTTCTCTCGCACACGTCCTGTCAAGCTTAACACACACACATACACACACTCAGGTGGAGGATACTTCAACGACTGATAAAGGATATTCAGGTTGAGCTGCTCTTCCTGCATGCCCGGGCTCATTAAAGCAATATACCGGATGGTGGGAAATCGTGGAGATGGTCTGCAGGCTTGGGTTGGCTCAGGGGAATGCTGTGGGGTACAGGCTGAGGGGCTGGCTTTCGTTGGTGGGCAGAGGTGATCGGTAGCCCTCAAAGTTTCTAGGAATACTGCCGCTGGTGGAGCCCGAGCTGTTGCTGAGAGTCTCAATGCTTCCCTCACGCTGGAGCTCTGCTGCACACACACAGAAAAACAGAGAACGATGAACAAAACAACATAACAAGAGTCTCAGTGTTTATGTGAACATTCCTGTCAGGGAAGGGATTTTCTGTTACTGTAAAAGAAGATTTAAACTTAAGAGCTGTTTATTAGTGCTCAGTTAAATATGCAGATCTCAAGTTAACTCAATCAAGAGACAATGCTTCCCGGCCACTGACCAGTTCTTATGTACATAATCTGTGTTTTAGGTAAATTACATTAAGGAAAGGTCTGATGAGTGAGGAACAGGACGTCTGGAGCTCCTGGGAGAAAAAAAATAAGACAGAGACCAGAGAAAGTGAAAGTAAAAACGAAGAGTTCTAAAGCTTTCCTTTGGGTCAATCCTTTCATTATCAGGCATCACCACAGCAAAACGATCCACCCCTGTCGATCTGGACAAAGTTATAAGTGGTTTACACACACACACACACACACACACACACACACTTACAAAAACACATACATATATGTTTGCAAGTGTGTATCACTTCCAGGTTTTTCCTGAAGAGTATTTCAATGAGTGCCCTATAAAGGGATACATAGATTTTTTAACCCTTTAACAGCCATCATACAGTAGCTGTCTGGTTGATCTTTTGTCCATAGACTATAATTTAAAAAATAAATAAATAAAGGTGGTGTGGTGGAGCAGTGGGTAGCGCTGTTGCCTCACAGCAAGAAGGTTGCTGAGTCAGTGGGCATATCTGTGTGGAGTTTGTATGTTCTCCCCATGTTGGCATGGGTTTTCTCCAGGTGCTCCGATTTTCCCATGTAGTACAGGTGAATTGGGTAAGCTAAACTGTCCGTAGTGTATGCGTGTGAATGAGAGTGTATGGGTTTTTCCAAGTAATGGGTTGCATCTGGAAGGGCATTCGCTGCATAAAACATATGCTGGATACGTTGGCGGTTCATTCCACTGTGGCGACCCCTGATTGATAAAGAGACTAAGCCGAAAAGAAAATGAGTGATGAGAAAATAAAATAAACTGGAGATTTGCTTAGATTGTCATCAGGAACACAACTGAACCCAAGGGGTCAATTCATTTTTCGTAGAGTGGACATTAAAGGGTTACTATTGCTAAAGTATGTTACTATTGAATATTATGTGCTGTATTTCTCTTGCTCTGAAAATGAAATGAAGCTTTAATGAGCACAAAACATCTTAGCAGTCAATAAATCCTCACAATCAGAAACTCTCTTCACCATAGCAACGGGGCGCTCGAGTACCTCAGCACTTCTTGTCAGATTCATCTTCGGATGGAACATTTGCAACACATTAACACTGTCATTATGACCCGAACACAGACGAAATACATCACAGAATGCTTGAGTATTGTCAGCAGAAGTTTACAGTTAGCGTATCTCTGCAGCTAACAGATTACAACCTGACCTGAAAATTTCCTGTTGACATATCAACCGCCATAATTGTCACTGTTCAGTTTTGGTAGAAATAACACTATATTAAAGGTACAGTTCACCCAAAAATGAAAATCATCTCATCATTTATTCTTCCTCGTGGAGTTTTACAATTTTATCAGCTTCTTTTCAGTGCGACATGGTGGCTCAGTGGTTAGCACTGTCCCCTTACAGCAAGAAGTCGCTGGTTCGAGTCCCGTCTGGGTCAGTTGGCATTTCAGTTTGGAGTTTGCATGTTCTCCCCATGTTCTCGTGGGTTTCCTCCGGGTGCTCTGATTTCCCCCAGAGTCGAAAGACATGCCCTATAGGTGAATTGGATGAACTAAACTGTCCGTAGTGTATGTGAGTGAATGTGTTTGTATGGATGTTTCCCAGTGATGGGTTGCAGCTGGAAGGGCATCTGCTGTGCAAAACATATGCTGGATGAGATGGTGGTTCATTCCACTTTGGTGACCCCTTATGAATAATGGGCTAAGCTAAAGGAAAATGAATGAATGAGTTCTGTTAAAGGCAAAAGAAGATAATTTGAGGAATGTTGGTTGCTGAAACGCATCGACTTCCTCAGTAGAAAAAGAAATATGAACTTTTTTCAAAATATCTTCCTTTGTGTTCACCAGAAGAACAAACTCAAATAGGTTTTGAACAAGCGAAGGTTAAAGTAAATGACAAAACTCAAACCCCATTTTAAACAATCTCATGAGGTATTCTCTAAGTTGATTTTCTATTATAAATAAGTGTTGGGTGTAATTAGAAACAAAGAAACTTGTTCTTGTAATTCTATGTACTTTTCCCCTCAAAAAGGTTTAATTTTTAGGTCATTTATTTACACTAACACTTAAAATACACTTGCTTAAAATACTGCATACATTGTTTTGTATAAATCAGTTCAGAGAAGCAGAGTAATTTTAAATTGAGTTATTTTTGTTATACAAATGAAGAGTATGTGTAGGCTCAGTAATTTCACTTTTATAGTGACGAATAAATTCTTTTCATTGCATTTAAAATGAAAGAACTGAACATCAACACAGGAGGCTAAAAAAAGCTAATTGTAGTAGAAAACTTCAGATGGCATTAAGAGACTTTTTTAATCTTCAAGAATATTTGCAGAATACCTTGACTTTTTTCTGCTAAAGAATTTTAGATTTGTCAGATGATCACATTATTAAGAAACAAAGAATTGAGTAGGAAATGAATGTCAATATATAATATATGTATGAAATATTTTGTCATTACTACTATGAAACATTTCAGGGTTTGATACACGTTTACAATTTATTAAGTGTTGCTTTTTTTATAAAGCTAATATGCCCTTCCAAATTGAAATAATTATTTGTATTCTGTATGCTTTAACATTTTAAGTTGTATTGAGTCAAATAATTCAATTACTCATTGAGATATTAGATTACATTTTAGACAAATTAATTAGAAAATGATTCAGTTATGTAATTAGTACACTGTAAAAAATGATATGATCAATTATTCATGACAACATATGTTTTTAGTTCACTGTAAATTATTTAACTAAGTTAATCATGTTCTAACTTAATTATAAAAGTTACACAAGCTGTTTTAAGTTATACAAGTTCAATGAACTCATAAGGTTAATTTGATTCAGCTTAAACATGTAAGACAACAGTTCTTTTTTTTTTACAGTGTAGAAAATTATTTTTTTGAAGTAACTTACCAAACACTAAACACTAATAAAGATGCCAAAGAACCAAAAAGTGTTTATAAAAGAGTATTCAGAGTATTCAGAGTATTCGCAGGGTCTTAAAAAGTCTTAAATCTCAAAAGCTCAATTTTAGACCTAACAATGTCTTAAATCTACTGAAATGTTTTGTTGTAGGTCTTAAATCTCTTTTAACAGGTCTTCATTTCCCTTTGTTCACATATAGCTACCCAATCTGGCCATTAAAACCCACACAATCACCAACAATCCATCTTAATAAAACTTTAAACTTTTTATTTAAAAACAAAATCTGCTTAAATGTCTTCATTAATTTACTGCTGAGGATCCTGACCTGACCCATATGTGTTTTATTATTATTAAATTATTATTATTGTATAGTAATTGAGAGCTATGTTTTGTTCTATTCTTGGTAAGGGTTATAGGGTTAGTAAATGGATGTACTTGAAAAAAAATAAATAAAAAGAATTATATATATATATATATATATATATATATATATATATATATATATATATATATATATATATATATATATATATATATATGATTATCGTGTTATTAAATGTATTCAATTTTATTCTTTTTTGACAGAGCTAGTGCAAATCTTTTCTAACTGGGATATTTGGGGAAAAAAAATCCTTAGCATTTAGCCCTGTATAAGTCTAAAATTTCATTAGTTGTTGTCTAAAAAATGTCTCAAAATGTCTTAAATTTATCTGCAGAAACCCTGGAAATGCTTTTGGTTTTAGTCATTTGTAGCAACATACTCAAAGCTGTCTTTTCTATTAATAAGAACCTGTTGAAGAGTGGCAATCTGGATATATCTTTTAAAAACGTATATTAAAAGTTCTTGATGAAACCAGCAATCCCCATGAAGAATTTTTATTTCTAAAAAGTACAGAATAGTGCAAAACACAGGGACGACAGATTTGCAGATATAATGCACAAAGGTTGTGTTTTGTCACCTTGTAGTGATTGTTATTCTCAGCATGATTTGTACTGTATATGCTGTGGATGTTACATGTTGTTAAAAGGACTCTAGTGTATACACAGCAGAGCCTCATAAGGGCTGAGATATATGCAGTGTTTGAAACAGACATCGCATGCAGAATGGGTTATGATCTGGTGTGTATACAGTACTGAAGTGACGGGTGGCCACATTCCCCTGATGATTAGCGGTGGTGTTTGTTTGCTGTGCTGTTCATAGCCCTGTGACAGGTGCTCATGTGCTCTTCCTCGTGTGCCCAGCAGAGGCACAGACACACAACAGCTAATGTGCTGATTAGAGGCAGACGCAGATGGTCAGGACCGCACCTGGAGCAGCCAGTGTTTGTTTGTGAATCTGCATGTAAGGAAGAGAGCCAGCGGTCATACACTTCCGCTGAAACTGAACTCTCAGCTTTAGGAAAGAGTAAATAATGACGTTACACACTCGGGGTGGGTGGGATGAGCAGAATAATTTTAGAGCAGAATTACATGATACGATTAAAGCACGATGCAAGGCTTTTGATCACTTGAAACTACATACTGTAACTTTTACACAATTCACACAAGTCAACTTTATTTACGTATCACCCATCAAAACAACTTAAATATAGCTCAAATCACTGTCACTTATATGTAATTTGTAACATTCTGCTTGTTTATTGTTTTATGATTAAGGTGTGACTTCTGGCTTGTAATGCAAGCTTGCAATTGTCTGCATTTGATTTATTATTGCATGTCTAGGGCCAGACAGAATCTGCAGACATTTTTTACTATTTTTGCTGAGAATATTGTAAAAACAAAAACTGTGGATCTATGCGGAATGACTTTAAGAGTTTCGTAACTAAAAACTTATTTTAAGAAATAAAAAAAAAATATATATATATTTT